TTCAAAGGAACGGGCATATCATGAATTGGGGTGGTCTAAGATATATTGCTGGGCAAAAAGATTAGTCTGCTTCACAATTAATTGAAGAAAATGATCAAGGAAAAATACATTTAAAAAATCAATTGGTGAAATATTTCTGTGTTGGCCTGCACACCTAGCTGTACAGTGAGGGGGGGGGGGGGGGATTGTAGATGATCCTGAGCTGGAAGGCAGCCATAATGGGTTTGCCAGAGCATCTGGAAGATATGTATGGGCCCTGATTCTTGAGGTCTGGCGTGATATTCCAGCGCTGGTACCGGGGCTTTCATCTTGGGGTCTAGCGCCGTTGGTGTTTGTTGATTGACCACTGGGGTGTATGGCACTGCTCGTGGTTGCCTGGTATCCCAAGTATCTTATACTTTTAGTAAGGACTGCTTCCTCTTCCGATTTGGTCACCCACTACTATCGATTGGTTCATATTCCGACGGTAAGCGCTCCCCGCTGTTCTCATCCGTCATACTAAATGCCTCCTCACTAGTATATTTTTTGGACACTGTATGATGGGTAAACTGCTGATGGGCAGCTGTGATGGGTACACTGCTAATGGGCGGCAGTGATGGCAGCTCTGTGATGGGTACACTGATTAACTGCACTGATGACAGGTTTACTGGTGTATGCTCTGACAGGTGCACTGATAGGCTGCACTGATGGATGTGCTGACAGGTACACTGATGGGCTGCAGAACAGCTACACTGATGGGCTTTATGGCAGGTACACTGGTGGGCTGTGCTCACAGGTACACTGATGGGCTGCATGACAGGTACACTGATGGGCTGCAGGATAGGTACATTGATGGGCTGTGCTCACAGGTACACTAATGGGCTATATGACAGGTACACTGATGGGATGCATGACAGGTACACTGATGGGCTGCAGGATAGGTACATTGATGGACTGTGCTCACAGGTACACTAATGAACTGCACGACAGGTACACTGATGGGCTGCATGACAGGTACAGTGATGGGCATTGCTGACAGGTATGCTGATGGGTTGTGCTGACAGGTGCGATGATGGGCTGCAGGACAAGTACAGTGATGGGCTGTGCTGACAGGTATGCTGATGGACTGCACAACAGGTACACTGATGGGCTGCTGTGACATGTACACTGATGGGCTGCTGTGACAAGTACACAGGGCAATCAGTACACTGATGGGCACAGTAGTGAAGGGGTTAATGTGGTAACTCACAGTTCCACAAGCTGGTAACAGTGCGTTATTTAAAGTGAGTTGTTTACAGTTGTGAATGGCTGTGATTGGACACAGCTGATCACATGGTAAAGAACCAATTTCATTGACTCTTTACCCTGAGCGGAGATGTGCTGTGTCTGGGGGACACCGACCTCCTCCGATCACTGCTCTGCGCGCCCCCGGGGGCTGACCTGGAGGACATCATATACGCCCTCCTGGAGGGACAAAAGGCCTGCCTAGCCATCATTCTGCTATTGGCTGGGCAGGAACAGGTTAAACATGGCAGCACCACTCTGCATTTACCTCAAAGAAGAACAGCAAACAGTGATATGTTTTTGTGGTCTTAAGGTGTACCAGGAGCCAAAATCTATTGAAGGCTTTCATCATAATATGGCGACAGTGTTTTACCATGATGAAGTGTATGGATGAATGTATTGATAAGAAGAAGTTCAAAACTCAACTCTTAGTAGGATTAGTGATGCCCATAGTTTTTTAGGACTCACAAGGGCCAGTACTGGAACATTATTTAGAGAAGGGCTCAACAGTGAACAATGCATGTTGCAGTGAGGTGCTGTGCGACAAGCTGAAGCCTGTAATTCAAACCAAACAAGGAGGCCTATTGCAAAAGCTATTTTGTCATTGCATAGCAAATGTATGCCCACATACTGCTGTCCACACTGTTCAAACGCCTTGAGGTATTGGAGCATCCTGCATATAGTCCAGATTCCACTCCCTCGAATTACCATCTGTTTGGTCCACTTAAAGATGCCTTAAAATGTATCTAAAAACAATTTTTTTTAAACTTGTGAACAGAGTATGGGAGGGTTATAACCCTGTCAGTTTTTTTTACCATCTGTGTCCCATTGGGGAGATTTTTCTTCACATCCTGTCCTATAGCCAAAACAGAAAGTGAGAAGAATGCCCTCCAAAGTGAGGAAATCCTGAGTGTCACCAGAATTAATGTCCCCATTAGAAGATTTCACCTTTATTAGTGTTCTGATGTCAACCCAAAATTTGAGATTTTCTTTTACTTCCACTTTTAACGATAATGATAACAGGACAGTTAGAGAGGGTGAATCTCCTTAACAGAGGCGAAGACAGCAATAAAAACTGACATGTTCTAATCCCTCTCCACTCTATCCAAAACTACTAAAAAGTTTTGCATTTAGTTACACTTGAAGACATCCAGTGTTTGACTTGCTTTACATTGTGCTGCATTTCTTTGGACCCAGCATGGTGTTTTTTGAACTGCGGGCAAAGCATGTCAGCTGTAGCATTTTCTTGTCTAACACTGTGATTTCCATTAGCATGTATTCAAATGTAAAATGCAGCGTTCAACTAGTATGCCAGTTGATATGAACCCTTACAATTCCTTTCCTAAACATCCAATGACAAAGTGTTTATGGCAGTCAATGGGTTAACACAGGCTGACAGCTTCAATAGCTGCCATGAACTTAAATGTCACGGCAGCCTCTTTTCTAGCAGTATTAATGATTCAGTCTTGATCTCTCCTGCATTGCTACAAACAGAACCTCCCTTCCTATGATCCCATTCTTTGCACAGTGATTCCACCTCTGGAGGTCTATACATATGGAAGGACCCTAGAAGTTTGCACCTCAATGCACTAGGCCAGCCTTTCTCAACCAGGGTTTTAGACTAGGGGGGTATCCTCCTGCGCTTGGTATGGGTAGGTCCCTAACTACTAGCTGCAATCACTCAACCTCAACCAATACGTCATAAATAACATGCATTAACTAGTGAAGCACTCCCACATTATCTAAAAGAATTCCCTCTGTGTATAACTTAATTCCCAACTGAACTTAAAAGTAATCAATATTGTATGGTGATAAAAAACATATGAGCTAAAATACATAAACACCTCTCATATATATCAGTTAATCTTGCCTCTTAATAAATCTGTGATGAAAAATTAACAATTAAAAAAAATTCATGATAAATCCTCAACTATCAGTGATACATCAATAAACATAATAATCCTAATAACATAATGAATTGTGACAAATCGTGATGATTGTGATGAACCTATACATCAAAAACCAGTGATTCTGTAACACATAATGTAATACATATATCCCGAAATAAAAATAATAATAGACTGCTACTTAATACTGTGATAAATAAATAAACTCAGTGTCCAAAGTAAACTCGAAAAAGTCCATGCAAAAATTTGTGAAAAACACTCTGTGATCTCCACTTCTAGTGCTCAAAAAGGAATCCTACAAAGGCAGCAATGCCTGCTCACCTCCCCTCCTCGACCCACACAGGGCCACAAGGCAAAAAAACTCTCCTCACAGGCAATCTTTTCCTCCAAGCAACTCAGCAAGGGACCTCTGGACTTCCACTCCACCTCCTCTCACCATTAAGGAGAAAAGACTAATTGAATTTTCATGACCTCATCTCTGTAATTCAAAAGATAACAGCATCTGTGTGCATCCAGCTAATTCACAAATTGGCAAAAAGTAATCCCAGCAAAACGTCACCCTTGACAGACTCTTGAGGAAGGATTGTGACTTTAAATGAGCTTCTTCTGCCAATCCCCGCACCCACCTCCTGTGTATCGCAGTCCCTCAGTGCCAAGCTGAGACAGTTCTGCTCTGCCCCGGCTCCCAGCTCCTCACTCCAACTCGCCAACTCCAACCAGGGTGCATTGATGTTACTTCAGGGGTGCCTTGGCAAAATGTCTAAAAATTGCCCAAAACATGTATACAAGCCAGTGGGTGGAACAAGCCTGCCTTTTAGTTACACAAAGCCACAGGTTTTCATTGTGCACTATTACAACCTTCTAGCCACCGGCGTCCTGACAACCAATTACATCATCAGTTGATAAGAAGGATGCCAGCTACCTGCACAGCAGACTAGTTTGACCCTCCCCTGCCCCCCTCCATCAGTGCTGGGGTCACATTAACTAAGTGATGGAGAAACAGTGAGGGAGAAGAGAAACATTGGAATACTAGTCAGTACCAGTGTGCAAAAGTGTATTTGCTTTGGAAGAATAAATCACCTCTAATGGGGTGTCCTACATGTGTGGATTTTGCTGCGTTATATAAAACTAGAATAGTTTTTCACATTTTAGAATGGAATGTCCTTTTAAAATTATGGACAGTCTTGAGGCACCCCATTTTAGAAAGAGGTGCCTCAAGACTGTCCATAATTTTAACCACTAGCCTACAGGGCACTTATACCCCCTTCCTGCCCAGGCCGATTTCCAGCTTTCAGCGCTGTCACACTTTGAATGACAATTGCGCAGTCATGCAACACTGTACCCATATGACATTTTTATCATTTTTTTGTGACAGATAGAGCTTTATTTTGGTGGTATTTAATCCCCTCTGTTTTTTTCTTTTTTTCTTAAACAAACCAAAAACCACTGAAAAGTTTGAAAAAAAAACATTTTTTTTCTTAGTTTTTGTTATAAGATTTTGTAAATAACTGATTTTTCTCCTTCACTGATGTGCACTAATGAGGCTGCAGTGATGGGCACTGATAGGCTGCACTGATGGACACTGATAGGTGGCACTGATGGGCACTGATGAGGAGGCACTGGTAGGTGGCACTGATGGGCATTGAAAGGCAGCACTGATATATGGCACTGATATATGATACTGATATATGGCACTGATAGGCAGCACTGACTGGCACTGTTAGGTGGCACTGTCTGGCACTGTTAGGCAGCACTGATAGGCAGCACTGACGGGCACTGATGCACACTGATAGGCGGCACTGACTGGCACTGATAGGCGGCACTGACTGGCACTGATAGGTGCCACTGATTGGCAGCACTGATAGGTGGCACTGATTGGCATTTATAGGTCACAATGACTGGCACTGATGGGTGACACTGAAAGGCAGCTCAGATGGGCACTGATATGTGGCATTGATGTGCACTGGTAGACACTGATATGTGGCATTGATGTGGCACTGATAGGCACTGGCAGGTGGCACTGATGAGCACTGACAGCTGGAACTGATAGACACTGACAGGTGGCACTGCTGGGGCTACACTGATCATCAGGACACACTGATCATCAGTGCCCTGGTGATCAGTGCACATGTCCCCTCCAAGGAATGCTGATTACCGGCTCTCCTCTCCTCACGAGCTGTCAGCGTGACAGCTCGTGAGGAGAGAAATGCTGATAACCGGCATTTCCCTATTTATATGTGATCAGCTGTAATTGGACACCGCCGATCACCACGCTGCACACTCCTGGAGCCGCACATGCGTGGTAAGAATGGGAGGACGTCATATGATGTTCTCCCAGAACGAGAGAACCGCCTTGCATCCGTCATTGGACTTTATGGCAGGCGGGAGGTGGTTAAAGAGTGCCTTGACTGAAAAAAGGTTGAGAAACACTGCACTAGGCTATCTATCATAGGAATTCTGAGCCCACAGACTGCAGAAAAATTCCTTGTCTCAAAACATCACAATGTATAATATATATATATATACTCTATATATACACACACACTCAGGGGTGGACTGACAACTCATGGGCCCCCCGGGCAATAGGGGATCATGGGGCCCCTGTGTCCTTGCCCAAACTCAATAAAGCCTATGAAAAAGGTACTAGGGGCATCTCATGGGGCCCCCTACTGACCCTGGGCCCTCAGGCAGTGCCCGAGTTTCCAAATGGTCAGTCCGCCCCTGCAAACACTATATTTTCAAAAGTATTGGGACACCTGCCTTTACACGCACATGAACTTTAATGGCATCCCAGTCATTGAGTTGGCCCACCCTTTGCAGCTATAAAAGCTCTAACTGTATATGTATGTATATATATATATATATATATATATATATATTCTCCTAGATTGTAAGCTCCAAAGAGCAGGGCCCTCCTATCCCTCTTGTATTGAACTGTATTGTTGCTGTATTGTCTCCCTTTATATTGTAAAGCGCTGAGCAAACTGTTGGCGCTATTTAAATCCTGTATAATAATAATATATATACAGTGCTCAGCATAAATGAGTACACCCCTTTTGAAAAGTAAGATTTTAATCAATATCTCAATGAACACAAGAACAATTTCCAATTTTTTTTATAGAACATTTGTTAAGCTCATTACATGAAAGTAAGGTTACTAATATAACTTAAATTACAAAATCTTCATTATTACTCAAATTAGTTGATGCAAACATGAATACACATCAAAAACAACTACATCTAGTATTTTGAATGCCCTCCATGATTTGTAAGGACAGCCCAAAGTCAAGAACAACCTCTTTTAGAGCCTGAATGCTGGATGGAGAGTAATGCTCAACTTGTCTCTTCAGAATTCCCCATAGGGGTTCAATTGGGTTCAGATCAGGGGACATACTTGGCCACTGAATCACTTTCACCCTGTTCGTCTTCAGAAATGCAGAAGTGACCTTACATGTGTGTTTTGGATTATTAAATAAAGAAAAAATCCTCTTGTGCTGCCAAACCTAATATGATAAACTAAGAGTGGCTGAAAACACCAAATTGTGTTCCCACAACACTAAAAAATAAATGAATAGATAACCCATGCTACTCACTAAACCTAACAATAACACAAAACGTATTTCTTTTCCCACTGTTCCTACATGGCAGTTTTTATTCATTTATGTAATATCATAAGGATTGTAAAGTTCTTTAATGTGCTGATGCTGGCTGCTCAAATCCTCCTGACACAGGCGTGCTCCCAAAACTACATTTTCCAGGAGCCCATAGTGTGTGAGCATGCTCCTAGGAATTAAGGCAGCATTAATTTCCTTGGAAAGAAAACAACACATTTATGAGGGAGAGGGACAGAGAGGAATGACGATTGGCAGATTTCTATAGTCTAGCTGGGGAGAGCTCAGGCAGGGTCAGGGACTTTAGTGCACCAGAGGCAGCATTATTAGCCCTAAAAAAAGGAAGTTAGGAGCTCACTGAATTTTAGGCAGGATTTGCTTTGCATGGTATTTTTTTTTACCTAGACATCCATTTTACAAACTTTAAAGGAAGATTTCAGCAGCTTGTGGGGAGGTGCAGCGTGGTGCAGGTAGTTGCAGCAAAACATGGAACTTGTATTAAACAGAATACCAACATTACAGACACCCTGGTGGGAAAGCACTGCTAGGGAATCAACTCACAGCTCAACGTTGTCAGAAGTATAGGAGGAGAGTTGCAGATAGCATTTGTTTCAGAGGGTGAAGCGCAGCCTGGCTGGTCCAGTCCCAAGATGGAAGCTCCTTTCCAGAATAGCGAGTTCCTAATCTTTCCTTCCTTGTCAGGAACCTTTCCCTACCACTAGTTACTTTCCCTAACAAGCAGGGATTCTATCCCTACACTAGTCACATGCCAGAAACATGTCAAAACCTGTCGGCAGAGACTTAAATAGACCCTGCTGACCCAAGATGGTTGCTGAGGGTCACGTGGGTGCACCATAGCCAACCAGAACACTGCTCCATTGGCCCAGAAAACCATAGAGAAACATTATTTCTCATGGACTTCCTCTCAAGGCTGAGGTGCCACTCGGTATGAGGGCCACCTGCAGTGGAGAAAACAAACCTCACCTGCCTATAAGCTCCTTGTGCTTGATTAGTTTATGTTATGTTGTCCATCTCTCATCTGTAGACACAAGTTTTGGACTCTCTGCTAAGCACAATGCCAAGCTCTACAAGTAAAGGGGAATGATTTGGCTACAGAGTCACTTTAGGAGTCTGAATTGACAGATTCCCATATTCCCATAGCATGAAGGCTGCATTTATAGCTCATATAATAAAATTACAAATGTGCATGTTGTCTTAAGCTTCTATTGTATAATGCTTTATTATTATTATTATTATTATACAGCATTTATATAGCACCAACAGTTTGCTCAGCGCTTTACAATATCACGGGAGACAATACAGCAACAATACAGTTCAATACAAGAGGGTTAGGAGGGCCCTGCTCCTTGGAGCTTACAATCTAGGAGCTTTATCATCCCAACTCCCGATTTCAGTAAACCCTCTATTAGTAATATAGTTCTTTGTCCTCCTCTGTTGCACTATAATACCACCTATGCTCCTATCAGCTCACATATCTATAAAACTCATTTAATAACCCATCATTTCATAGTGAATTAGCATATAATGACTTGCTATAGAGATGTGGGAAATAACAAATAGCTGGAATTTTGAAACCTTTTGATTTAATAGAATATACAGAAAATTACAGGGGAATGCATGAACACAAGTAAAAGAAACATAACCATTGTTTGTGCAATAGAACAACATAGCATTAGAGAGAACCCATCACGGTTTGTCAAAGCAGCACTTTAGAATCATCAGGCAGGGAATTCAAATTAACTGGGAAAACACATTGACAAAAAATGATATCACGGCATGAACCCACATTGTATTTTGAAGCCCTCTATTACCTGAGTCCTGAGTAAATGCTTAATAACGTGGTTTTATTAAGTCAAGCTGTGTCAGTGTAGAGATTAACCATACAATAATGGTGTAAATGAAGACATTTTGAAGGGTAATTGTGGTGTGCATGCAGGAGTCACAGTAACAAAACTAATAATCCATATTTACTACAGTAAATCCTTTAAAAGGTATATTTTCCTACATTGTGAGGATTTACTTGCATCCACAGATTAATACTTTTAAAAACTGGTATCATCATCCTAATTGCCATCTGAGTGTTGCACAAAGAATATTATTAAGTCAGGTAAAAAGCACAGCAATTTCTGCTAATCAATCTACCATCTCCTTTCACTGAGAGCTCTAAACTGGAAATAGTTGAGTCTGGTAGCTATGGGTAACTGCATTTTGCATATGATTATTTCATGAATTCTTAACTAAGCCTGTTTAACTATATCAGCCTTGGGTTGTATAATCCATATTGAGATCCATACACTATTATACAATGTTATTTACTCAAAGAAAATACAGAACAGTTTCCTAAAGTGTTGACATTGGAAGTTGAATAATGTAGGCAAGGATATTTATTTAAATTAAAAAATATATTAGGTCTACCAGGACAATTAGATTGCAGTAAATGAAAGTAGATATTAATGCTGTCAGTCCTCCATGCTCCAGGCTACATTCACAACTGTGCATCTTGTAGCTTGAAGCTCAAAGATGCTCAACAAGAAAAATCCCATTCATTTCAATGGCCCTTGTGCACATTCGAGTCTCAATAGGGGCCATTGAAATGAATGGGGCTTTTCTTGTTGTGCTTCTTCGAGTTTCGAGATACAAAATACTCAGGTGTGAATTACTGAATGCCACCATGGTGGCTATTAAGTAGTTAATAATATTGCCTTTGGCACTGGTTCCTTGGTTTAGACTCCCTTCATATCTGTCTGTTATTTAGACTAACACCCCAAAACCTTATTACATTAGGCCATATTGCACCACCACGCCCATGCCATTCATTGTTGTGAACTGCAGTTTACATATAGTGAATAGGCTGCTGTAAAACATGTTAAATTGTGTGTGTTAACACATCGCAATAGTCATAAGAGATGGAAGGGGCCGTATTTTCTCCCGGAATATCTATGGGTTTTTGTTGTCCTATGTCCATGGGTGTGCTCTGAGTGCCTTCCACTATTCAAAAAACATGCAAATGGCTTAATGTTATTCTCTTAAACCCCCTCCAGTGCGAATAATAAGTGAATTTAATTGTGAGCTCTATAGGATACTTATGTGAGTAAATCTAAGTATATTTTAAGTTTTGTGGTATATGACAGTGCTGCAAATTTGTGGGAGTGATGCCATCGCGGCCTGGCTATTCAAGTGATTAACAGATGGAACCCGAAAGCAAGATCGACGGAAGTGCCAATCACTGACAGTACAGCTCTGGAGGGCATCCTTTGACAGGTAAGTCTGTCATAATGTGCTAGTATGCGGTGCATACTAGCACATTATGACATCGACCACCTGGGGGCCATTAAAAAAGTAGTGGAGTTTAATGCCATCTTAACAGCTCTGAAATTGCTAAGATGAGCCATAGATTATACTATTTTCTTTCCTTCCATCACAGGTTGAAAGAAAATTGTTCAATTTCCCCATCAGCACAGTCAGTCCCTTCTGCAGTGCTGTTGTGTTCTGTTAGCAGGGAGCCTTCCCTGCCAGCAGAACAAAATGATCACTGCTGGCAGCTATAGCCACCAGCAGTGATTGCATGCAAAAAATCCAACAGTACACCCAGCCTGCCCATAGATGGATTGAATTTCAGTCAGTGCCTGCTGAACCAGCCAAGAATAGATCCATCTATGGCCA